CCCCACCTAGGACAAAGACGTTTTAAGGGAAATAAAAGTCAGTGACGTTTGGTTCATGGATTAGAATTATTTTTAATTTATGTATATTTTTTATGTAAAAAAACGCTGTAACAAATTATGAACCATGATTCAAATTATGGTTTGAATCTTCTAATCAAACGTCCCAGAAGAAAAATGATCGTATAGAACATAGGAATATTCTAACATTACGAGATTCATGACCAGTTACATGTTATGTCATTTGAGTCCTACATATAAGCTTTATACTATTATATATCATAATTATAATAAAGTACGATTTATTCCTGTTGAGCATCACCAATGTCAAACGAGATGGGGAAATATGACAAAAAAGTGTCAATAATACTTGTACAGAATTAGGTGATGATTGATTACAGGTACTTGTTTGCCCATAACAAGATTATAAAGTCTTCATCAACTTCGACTGTTTATTAAAATTTAAAAGAAAACGTGTACAATAATGTTTTCCATCAAAATTTTAACAGTCATCAACAATTTAGAGACATTGTGTAATAATTTGTTAAATTTAAGGAATAAAATTTTAGAATTAAATGATTAAAGGACGGTAAATTCTATATATTAGAATAAGCACACGAGGTAGGGTTAGGAGAGTTGCAGACACTAAGTTATAGTAGTTCGACAATATATGTCTACATCTGTTGTTATTAAGTAAAGCACGACTTAGTCTTTTCTATTATCTCGATCGACATTAGGTCTGATCAAGCCACATGCAAAATGGCGACTTCTCTACCTAAGGCTCACCACACCTTCTATAACTACCAAGTTTTATGTAAAATGTTTGGCTATTCTTTTCACACCAAATTAATCAAGGAATTGGCAACTTATCACTCTTGTTTTGTAAGGGATTTGAAAAGGTAGCATCTGACGAGAATATCTCCCTCAACTTCGTTTTGATACAAGTAAGGCTATAGTAGATGCTTATCACACTTGACAAAGATTGCCTCAAGTTTGACTCAACAAACTGAGTATAATTAATTCTCTATCTATGAGAAATAAATACATTTGAGTTTAAGAAAGTTTGGATGTTACATAGAGCTGGTAGATATGTTCTGCATGAAAGAGCCTTTAAATAACCAGATCAACACAAAAAACTGTTGGGCATGTTGTCTAATAGGTAATTTCGACTAGCTGTTATGATCATCTAGCTGACTAGATCACGCTCTCTAACCGATCAGACGCTGACCGCTAAGACATCGATGGTAGATTTTAGCTAAATTTTAAAATGCAATTTTTAAGTTATTTTTGTGCCAAAAACCTTCTTTACCTTAGAAAACACCCATAAATTTTTCATAATTTTTGAAAATCAAAAGAGTCCATTCAATTTATCTTGCAAAGTTTTTAGTGTGTTTCTAAAGAATTTTTGCGCCCAAGTCATTAAGACAAATTTTCTAAGTACTGTAGGCATCGAATACAAAACCGAAAAAATGTAAAACTTAAACCTATGCAGGCAAATCTTGTGCATTCCTTCTTCGAGCTATACAATTCCAAGAGCATTTCTTGATGATTTTTCCGCACATATTGAGTTCCTCAATTTTTGCACAAGTTAGGGCCCGTTTAGCTCGCTGATTCGAGTTGAGATGTGACTTTATGTGAGAACTTTTTATTGTAACAAAAAAATTAGATGTGACTGTTTCTGAGAGCTTTTCACTGTTGCAAAACTCGAATAGGTGAAATAAACGAGACCTTAAACTTAACATAACTCAATATAAATACTAATATAATTTATCACTATCTAAAAATAATGAAATCGATTCTCAAAAAAATAAAAAAATAAAAAAATAATGAAATCGTGAGGCCAATAAAATGTGTCAAATACGTACCCTAACATCAATGTGTAGCTTTATGAACATTATTTGCCACGTTGTACAATGCTGAGCACAATCAATTTATTTTCTAATGCAAGAGTGTGCTGGAACTTCGGGCCGGCGGGCCAGCCCGAAGCCTGAATTTTTCAGGCTCGGGCGGGCTGGCTCATATGCCGGCCCCCGTTCAAAGTTGAAATTCGGGCTCGGACAGCCCGAATTTTGTCACCACACTGGAGCCCGCCGCCGTGTAGCCACCTCCAACTGCCGTTCGCCGGAGTTTTTTTTGAATTTTTCTGGCCAAGCCCGAAAAAAGTTCAAAAAAATGACCGTTGTGCCCAACCCGAAATTAGCCCGAAAACCCGAAAGCCCGAACTGCCCGAAAACCCATCCAACGACTACTTTTTTGCCCGTTGCTGCTCGAACCCGACCCGCCGAAACCCTACTAGCCGTTGCACTTATGAAAATGTGAAAAAAAATCAATTTTTTAACCCAAAAATTTCTCCCCCATCCTCAACACATTTTTCTCACTCAAACTCTCTCAATCTCTCTCAATTTCTCTCAATCTCTCAATTTCTCTCAATCTCTCTCGATCTCTCAAATCTCTATCAAAATTTTTTTAAAAACTATCACATTATCCTAAAGCTCTCTCTTTCAAATCGCTCTTATTTTTTTTATAATGGATCTTTTTGGTTATAGTGGTATTCCTGTTGATGCCCAACACAACATGGAAAGTGGGCGTGGAGAAGCGGCAAGTGCTAGTGCGACTGCATCTGTAAGTGTTGCAACCTCTAGGAGGAAATGCAAGCGCACCTCGACAATTTGGGATCACTTTGACATAATTGATGAGATCAACAATAAAGGTAACACTAAACATATAGCTCAGTGTAAATATTGTTTATCTAAATTACAAGGTGACACTATTCACGGCACCACACACTTGAGAAGACACTCTGAAAAGTGTCTTCAAAAGCTTAACCAATCCGGCGGATCTGAACTCCGCCAAACACAATTATCTTTTGATCACTCAACCGGTGGTCTAACCACTTAGAAATACGATCCGTAAGTAGATCATATGGAAGTTGCACGAATGATAGCTGCTTTAGATCAACCACTTAGTTTTGTAGAGCATCCTAATTGGCGACGATATATTAAGGTTGTACATAATCCTAATGCATAATTCACTTCAAAAACTACTCTTAGGAAAGATTTATTAAAATTATTTAAAAAAGAAAAAGAAGTATTAATAAACCTTTTACACTCGACTAGCGGGTGTGTTGCGTTAACGGTATATATTTGGTTTGCCGTTGCCAATAAAGATTATTTAGCTGTAACCGGACATTACTTTAAAGGATTTGATTTAGATAAAAGAATATTAGGTTTTAAATGTGTTCTAGGATTACATAGTGCATATTTAATATATAATACAATTTTAAATGTAATTGATGAATTTAGAATAAGAGATAAAGTAATGGCTATAACATTAGATAATGCTAGTGCCAATACAAAAGCAATTGAGTTCTTTGAAAATGATTCAAGCTTATTCGGTGACGGTACAATTTTCCACCAACGTTGTGCATGTCACGTAATCAATTTAATAGTTAAATCCGGTTTAAAAGAAATGAGTAATGGATTCAAGGTAGTAACCAAAGACAAGAAGATTGGTTTAGGTTCTTATAAGCATTAAATATACCTCATAGAGCATTAGCGTTAGATATGCTGATAAGATGGAACTCAACTTATATTATGCTTCAACAATGCATCCCCTATAAGGATGTCATAACAAACTATATGTGTGCAAAATTAGGGGTAGGACATATAGACGAATGTGATTGGCA